GACCACCATTTTGTGCAATCATCAAGTGGCTTCACGATGTAATGCTCTAATGTTTTTTAAATAATTTTTAATCTGTTTTTAACTTGTTCTTGTCATATTTTATATAATTTTGACCATTGTACCATCTATCCAGCTCTCACCATGTTACTGGACGTTTCCCTCATCATATACGTAAACAACAATTAGCAACATCCTCACATACTACTGTAATACTACAATTTAAATTCATTTTACACTTTTGTTGCTACTGTTATCATTGTAATTGCAGCTCCTGATGATTATGGCAAAGTCCACTGTAAGCTAGAGAGAATTAAAAAAGTATAAACAGTCCTCTTTGCTTAAATTTTGTCGAAGTACCCATCAAAAGGCGGAAGCTTTAATTTTTCACCTAACTGGTCTAGACGACAATGACCACGTCTCAAGTTATATATATATATATGTAGCTAATTGGGAAATGGAAAAATTTGCAGGCTTTAGTAAACTCTTTTAACGGTAACCTCTAGCTTTCGGCATTCTCTAAGGAGCCTGCTTCAGGAGCTGAAAACACAATTATGATACTAGCAACCAATACAGGAAAGATTTAAATTGTAAAACAACTTACTCGTCGTTAAGGTTCCAGCCAAATGGTGTTTTAAAACGAACGCGGAGATGAGAGTACTTGTTACAAACATAAGACCAAATGGACAGACACATTGGGTTTATTGATAACGACGGAAACCATCGTTAGGTGGGAAGGACTGGCAAGGCTACCGTTTCAGATAGTAGGAACCACAGGTACAACAGCTGTAAGCTACATGCAAGGTCCTGTGTCAAGGCTATGGAATCTGATCAAAGGATCAAGGCTGGACACGGTGCTTTAGAAAGTATATAGGGGGGTCACTTGGGTCGCAGTGGCTTTTGAAAAAAACTTTTTCTTACATTTTTCTATTGAATCCCAATGTGAATTGCGTAAATCCACTGGTAAATTCGTAAACGTTGTCGAAGAAACGTGACAAAACAGGAAGATGGTAGTCCATCATAGCAACGGCGTGACACGCGCACTTTTGCCAACTCCTAATTAATAAATGCGCTGGATGTAATATTGAAACCAGCTAAATAGGAAGTACTCGTATTTCCTCTAACTAATCGAGTCACACGTATATATATTACCTAATATGGGCTCTGGCTTTCGGTAACAAATCGTTCCCACGACTAAAACAAATAAAAAAAGAAGGTATAGGTGTCGTTGATAAGCATGTATCTCTGGATATTCTGCGATTCGACAATTTCTCTAAAACCGATTTTTTACATTGATGTTGTCATGGACGCAATAAAGCAATATATTGAAATGTTCTATTAATTTATCAAAATATGGATGAAATCTCATGGAATATTTTAAACATATCAGTGATATTTCAGAAACAATATGAATGAAATATTCCTCATCCCTCATTTCAGTATAATTTCTCTCAAACATAAATCAATATTTTTGAAAGATGGAAGAAATACCAATTTTGAAATGTAATCTTGGGAAAGATGTAATATACCAGAAATATCTCTGAAAACTAATGTGCTGTGTGAGATAGTCGTAGTCTCAACAGAAGAAATCACTCAATACCTTGTTCTTACACTGCGGCTTGCTATTTAGAACCTTTCCTACTGTATATATTTCTATAATTTGTGGAGATTCTATGCACGTAGATAAATATACATAGATATACATACAGAGTGAGTTTTTAGTGTATGATACGATCGATAGCTCCGTTATTTTAAAAGCTACCTAAGCTTGCCTACGAGGAAGACATGCCGCTCTATACAGGGTAACCACGTGACGAGACAGATATAAAGGGTGTTCAGATAAGGACGCTCGAAAGTTAAAATGGAAAAAAAAGGAAAAAAATTAAGTCAGCACTAAAAGTCTATATTGATCGTAAATAGCATTCGACGACATTATGTATGGAAGATTATATCGTTTAAATGGCCACCGCGACTGCGCTGTACAGCGTGCATTCGCATGGTCCAATTTTCGAGCACTTTTCCGCACATTTCAGCGTCTACCTGTGCGAGGACGCGAATGATGTTGGCCCCTAATGCTGCAATTGTTTGTGGCTTATCCGCATACACTTGAGACTTCACGTAGCCCCACAGGAAAAAGTCTAAAGGCGTTATATCACACGATCTTGGTGGCCAGTGCACATCGCCGCCGCGCGAAATAATGAAACCGTTGAACTTTTCATGCAGTAAATCCAGCGTTGCGCGTGCGGTGTGGCACGTAGCGCCGTCCTGCTGGAACCAGATGTCTGTTATGGTGGCTTCTCACTACGCGTGCTACTACGCGTCGCGCCGCTCCACGCGCAAGAACACGCCACGCGACACGCCGCGCCACCCGTTTGTGCGGCGCGGCGCGGCGCGTGCCTTCTGGCTTTACACCTCAGTTTGATTCAGTCTGTTTAGCGCAGCGCACTATGTCTTGTGAGTCGAATTGCCACCTCCAGCCATGGAGCAATGCCACTGAAGAAGAAGGCATGGCTGTTGCATCAGCCGTTTTTGTCTTATTTTGTGGATATCGTTTACTTAATAAAATTAACAAAAACAAGAAGAGGAGACGCTGGTGGATGTCAACGTTCAATAAGAGCCGGTCAAGGTAATCATTGTTTGTATTTTGAGATAATTACATAGGTACGTAATGTCTGGGTAGGTACACGCCGCGCCGCGCCTTTGAAGTTACCGACTTTTAGCGGATAGGTCGCGCCACGCCGCGCCTGCCCGCGCCAAGCTCTTCACACTGCGCGAGGCGCGTGCCGGCGCGGCGTGGCGCGGGTCAACACGCGCAGTGAGAAGCCGGCATTAGATCCATATCGTCCAGTTGAGGCCACAGGAAATCATTAATCATGGCGCGATACCGATCTCCATTGACCGTAAGCGCGTTGCCCATAGCGTCCTCAAAAAAATATGGACCGATTACGCCGGCAGCCCAGAAACCGCACCATACAGTCACTTTAGCAGGATGCATAGCAATTGAGCAAGTCACTTCAGGATTTTGGTCAGCCCATATACGGCAATTCTGTTTATTGACATACCCATTCATCCAGAAATGCGCCTCGTTGCTGAAGATGATTTTTCGTGCAAATGCAGGGTCGACTTGCAACTGCTCTAGAGCCCATGCGGCAAATGTACGGCGCTGTCCATGGTCTTGCGGTTTCAATTCTTGCGTCAATTGAATTTTGTACGCGTGCAATTTCAAGTCTCGACGCATAATTGTCCATGTTGAGGTCTTTGGAAGGCAAGTTCTTGTGCACGTCGCCGCAATGACTGATTCGGGTCTTGACGCACGCTCTCTCGCACAGCAGCAACATTCTCGATTGTTCTTACTGTTCGTTGCCGTACGGGTGTTGTTTGGTCTGCCACTGAGCCAGTTCTCTCAAATTTATTGAGCAGACGTCGAATAGTGGACTCAGCAGGACGGCCATGCGCACCATAAATTGGACGCAATGCGCGGAACGTTTCACGAACCGAACATCTGTTTTGATGATAAATTTTCAGAATTTCCACGCGTTGTTGAATCGTGTACTGCTCCATGATTAAATGTCAAGAGTAACTTAATAACCTCACAAAATTGGACAGCTGTATCCCCACCGGTTTGGGCGCACGCGCCGTTCAAACATCGAGCGTCCCTATCTGAACACCCTTTACATTTTTAAATGGAATACAAAATTAATATATAATTAAACGACAAGAAACTCAATTTGACAAAAAATATCACCATATATATGTAGTTAGGAAAATTCGTTTTATTAATTGGGTTAAGCAGCAATAATAAGCTAGGTATAGCTAGGTGACCACCTTGTGGCTTTCCACCCAAACTTTTGGAAAAACATAAATTAATTTTGTCACAAGCTGAATGAAACGATGAAATAATTTATTTACAATGAGTAAAATAGATGTGAAAACTCTACCGTTTTCAGCTTAAGTTCAATTTTGGTAAATCTCACTTCAAGTTAGAATATTATTTATGTGTACTCAGCTTCGGTTCTTTCCAGATAAGAACATATTTGATCTGGCAATGCCGCATTTATGTCTGGAAATATGAGTTGTGTTTATGTATTTGTCTTTTTGTGACTATGCCCTGAGGTGATCAGAAATAAAAATACGCCAGAATCAATATTAGGATTTTTTACGTGTTGATTCCAACGACTTATGTATTAAGTTCAAAAATGGTCAGCAACTCCCAAAACATCGAAAAATGCGTTTGTTGTATTGTAGTAGCTTTGTGCCAAAGTATCACAATTACTGAACGCAATGCCTCAGGGAGAAAAGTTCTTCTCTTCTCTGGTAAATAGAGCGAGCCCTTTGAACTTGTAAGTTCAGTATGTCAGTTTAACAACTAAACTTCATATTCTGAGAATTTAGAAACAAGTAATAAATAAGCACTATTAGGTACAGCTCGTCATATACTTACCTCTCTAGAGTATATGTCTTTTAATGCAAGCAGAATGGAAACACAACCTATACAAACGTTAGCACGTTACTCTCTAAAAATGAAATGAACCAGTCCGTAGGACAAATCTGCATCGCATTGCATTCATTTGGGTTTTTCAATTTAACCACCATCTAAATCTTATACAATCGAATGTAGTGATATATATATATATATATTATTTGTAGTGCAAAAATATATATATATATATATATATTTGTAGTGCAAAAAATTCTATACATACCTCGCTTGGACTAATAATGGCTCAACCTAGGTATATAATGTACTAGTACCCTTATTAAAACAGTCCTCCACATACAGAACCTGTTTGATCCATAATAATTAAACATTTGAATGCTGGACAGTGTACAAGGTATCGCAACACTCGTCTCTAAAAAGATAATTCAATACTTTATATAGCTGACTTTGCCTTTGTCAGTGGCTGAAGCGCGCGCGTCGACAAGTCCCGTTATGCTCGGTGTACTGCTGTGGAATGCGGAAAACATTCACTCGTTAGACAAATATCAACTAGAGTGATTTTACTGCCACGTACGTATACATATCCCCAGTACTATACGAAAAGGCATTCAATTACTGCTATTATCGTAGTAAAAATATTGTACCACAAGCCTCTAAGAATCTATGGAAAATAACATACTAGATGACGCACTGCCATTTTTGCTGCCGGACATCAGCGTAGTGCGGCTATATGTCCCTGGGGACATTTAACGCTGCTAACGTGTTAATCTTGTTTATGAGTCAGACATACTGACCACCTAATCTGGAACAACCTATATATTTCGAGAGAAAATGATTATACACGTATAGCTCCTATTAAGTAATATTCACTTACCTGAGGGACGTATTTGATCAGGGTTATTGTCAGCTTGACATAGGAACAGTAATACAAAAAATCCAACCAGTGGAAAACCGCAACAGCTGCCAGAATCATCGATATGAGTAAAAACACTCCAAATAATAGTAATATCACCGTGGCTGTTATTGACACTCGCTGCCCTTCTCTTTCGTAGATAAAACACTGAATCATGGTGATGAGAGTGGCCACGGTTGCATGGACGGCGAACACAGTGTCGTTCAGTTTCACAGGATTCAAACCACGGGGATAACGTTTCATATATTCTTCCTGAAAGCAAGTTTATTGAAACTTTCATTAAAGATTAAAATGATATTGGAAACATAATATTTAAGGAAAAAATCGAACCAAACGCTAAAAGATCATTAAATGATATGAGGGATTATCATTAATAAGATTTTTACATAGATCCAAATATTGTAGTCATTATATACAGGGTTATCCAAATTAAGTGTCCACCATTAGTAACTTTGTTATTAGTGAAAATACAAAGTTGTTTGAATTAGCAAACTAGTAGCATTTTTAACGCTGGTAAAAATGAGAAATAAAAAAAACAATTGAGAGTCGTTATTTTGATTTTTTTTCAGTAAAATAACATTTTTTTAAATGGAAACCCCTATATATTATATTTTTTTCTGTTAAAGCATCAAATTTTAAACAAAAAAGTTCATAATGACTTTTCCGCTAAAGTCAAAAATAAAGTCAAAATAACGATAAATATATTTAATTATTTGCAGTATTATAATATTAAGACGGCTATGAAAACAACATGGCGTTCGCGATTTGACAGCATTAAGATAAGCGACAAATTGTTAAACTGGACATACTCGCAACTAGAAGGCTTTGGAAAACAATGATAAAATCAAATAATGTCAAACATTAGTGTAAATACTTGTTTATAAGCTTTATTGTGTCATTAATTTAAAGAAAAATGTTCTCCCATGAAGAAAAGTGTGATATCTTAGAATGCTATTTAGTGTGCAGAAAATCCTCCTTGAGAGCAATACTACAGTGAATTATATCCCGCTCGCATTCAACCGTATGAACGATATTTTCTGAGACTTTATCGAAAATTTAGGGGCAACGAAAATGTTTTTGCTAAAACAAGGGCAAAAAAAGAATTCATAATAAGCGAGGCCACGGAAATTGCAGTTATTGGATATTTTGAAGCTTATCGTGAGAATTCAATAGCAGATATTCTCAAGGACTCTAATTTCAGTTATGGTACTGTTCAAAGGATTTTAAAAAAATACAAATTTATTCCGTATAAGTACCGACCAGTTCAAACGCTTTTGGCAGGGGATCCAAAGAGAAGACTTGTTTTTTGCCATTGGTATCTTAGCTTCTGTCGCCAAAATGTAACTAACTTTCGTTACCTTTTATGGACAGATGAATCAAATTTTTCAAATTCTGGAATGTTTAATAGAAAAAACCACCATTATTGGTCAAGAGAAAATCTTTTGTTAGTACATCCAAGAGGCCCACAAGTCCGTTTCAGTTTCAACGTTTGGTGCGGTATAATTGGTTCAAAAATTGTTGGCCCGTTCTTTTATGAGGGAACCCTAACTGGTGAAAGATATGTGGAATTTATGTCAGAAATTCTGACTAATTTCTTAGACGAATTGGATCTTATAAGTAGACATCATCTGCATTTTCAGCAAGATGGCGCACCTGCCCACAACTCCAGAGGTACTTATCATTTTCTAAGTACTACTTTTAATGATCAGTGGATAGGAACAAATGGCCCAATACAGTGGCCTCCCAGATCACCAGATCTAAACCCACTTGATTACTTCTTGTGGGGTTACTTAAAGAACCAAATTTACAAGCGAAGGTACGATAACCTTGACGCGTTAAAGACTGCAGTTAGGGAAAAGATAACCCAGATAGATGGTAGGACCATACTTAAGACAGTTCGAGCAGTTGAAAAACGTGCCCAAAAATGTATTGAAGAACAAGGTGGTGTTTTCGAGCATCTTCTTTAAAAAAAATTGTTATTGTATTTTGTAAGATTATGAGTTGATGTTGAAAATAAAGTTTGTCGATACAATTTAATTGTTTCAGATTGGAGGCCATAACTTCAACAATTTGTAACCTAGGAGAAAAGTTATTGTAAGCTTTTTTGTTTAAAATTTGAGGCTTTAACAGAAAAAAATATAATATACAGGGGTTTCCATTTAAAAAAATGTTATTTTACTGAAAAAAATCAAAATAACGACTCTCAATTGTTTTTTTTTATTTCTCATTTTTACCAGCGTTAAAAATGCTACTAGTTTGCTAATTCAAACAACTTTGTATTTTCACTAATAACAAAGTTACTAATGGTGGACACTTAATTTGGATAACCCTGTATATTCGTACATCATTATCACCGTGACATTACCTTTTTCTAATGGACCCTACATCAGAGAATTAACTCCCACACTGATCAGACTATGTAACCCGTTGAATTGTCGAATTGCTTGTAAGTCAGTCCTCACTATTAAATGTATTTTCTCAAAGATGAAGGGAGTTCCGTGGCTTAGCTTATCCAATACAGTCTACTCCATCAATTACAACAATTGCAATCTGATATACAGAGGCCAAACCTCCAGATCTTGAAAAGGAAGGATAACATCACACAAAAGTGATTCCGGATTGTATCCTGAGAGGTGTGCTTTGGCATCACATGTCAACAAAACCGGACCTTCAAGTGATTGACGCAACGGACCATGGAAATGTAGACCTCTCTGTCCAGTTTTGGGTATGAAGTATACGAGGGACGCTCGGTAAACCTCCACCCAAAATTACTAAAATGCTAAATTAACTTGTCTTGGAATTTTTTTTTGTGTAGCTCATATGAGTGTAAGAATGTGTGATATTGATACAACCTTGAAAATATGGGTTTTGTGAGTTTATATTAAAAATGTGAGTGAGAAAAAATATTCTAATTATGTGAAGATGTTGGTTCAATTTGGATATGTAGACGTTCTAGCTTTTCGCAATTCAACAGGTAGGAATAAATAACACTGAGCTGCTTGACATCAGCCTTTTTATTCATGCAATGATTTGTCATGAAAATGTGGGACATTTCTAAAAATAAACGTCTTGAGAGTCTTTTTTCTTTATCAAGAACCTCAACACATCACTCTGGATGTAATCTGGCATCACTTTTGTGTGAAGTTATCCTGCCTTTAAGCGACCTAGAAGTTTGGCCTATATACACTAAATTACAGTTGTTGCAATTAATACGATAGACAGTATTGGTTGAATCGAGCAACTGAACCTTATCCTTCATTTTGGACAACAAACTGTTGACTGTGAGCACTGATTTACAAGCAAAACGACAATTAAAGGAATTATACAGCCTGTTCAATTTTGGTGTTAGTTCTTTGATGTATGGCAAAACAACATAATTAACTCTGGGAATAAGAGTAACCACGGTAGTGCTGTTGTTTTCATTAGTTGAAGAAGTAATGGGTGTCTGGATGGACTGACCAGTGTTGTCATTTTCACTATTGTTATTAGTCATTGGCAAAATATTTGGAGGAGAGCTGAACAAGATTCTGTTAACCAAATACTTAGGATAGCCATTATTGATAAATAAGACTGAAAGCTTCCTTAAATTGCAAAGATGGAAAGTACTGTCAGAGATTTTTATAACTCTGTTCTTCATTTGTTTCACGAAATTTATTTTTATTTTAAGTTCATGGTAAGACCTGAAGTTCAGGAACCTTCCAGAAGAAATTGGTTTCCTGTACCAATCTACCAGTGATATGTTGTCATTTGTACGAATCAATCTTGAATCCAAAAAGGGAACAGCTTGATTGTCATCTTCTTTTTCGATGGTGAACTGGATGTAGGGATCATAACTGTTAAAAACCTCAACAATATCATCCACCCTATCAAAAGGAAGACAAACGATTATATCGTCTACGTACTTTTAATGAGAATTATATCGTATGGCAATACTTGAATAACAACATCAAGCAGGTCATCCATTACATATTCTGCCAAAATTGGAGATAAAACAGAGCCCATGGGGCAGCCATGTGTTTGTGAAAACACTTTGTTATTAAAGGTAAAATAGTTGTTCCGGAAAAGGTACTCTACAATGTTGATGAAAGAATCCAGAGTTAGGTTGCTGTGTTGGCAGATTAGATCCCAATTTTTGTTGATGGATCTGATGCCAGCTTCTAAATACACATTGCTGAACAGTGAAACTACACCTAGACTCGCAATAACATGATCTGTTTGAAACCTATTAAATTGTTGACAAACATCAAAAGAGTCTTTTATAAAGTATTCTGCTTTGATGTGAGTCAGATATTCTAAAGTCAGCTTTGGCTTTGGCAATGACTGCCGCTCATATATATATATATATATATATATATGTTATATGCACTCAAAACAATGGACTTACTATTCCATACAATGTTGCACCAGACGCTAGCTCAGCAACAGATAACGACTTCTCGCTAACACGTTGTTTACGCTTTATTTTCTAGAAGTGCTTTGTAAGCACACCAATAGTATAAATAGGCCTTGCGCCCATTTCATGTCGTTCATTACCCGGCTAGGCACCGTAACAGTCACTTATGTAAACTTTATGTTCATTACCCGGCTAGGCACCGTAACAGTCACTTATGTAAACTTTATGTTCAATACCCGGTTAGACTCCGTAAATGTCACATTTGTAAGCCTTTGTATTTTGTATGGATTGAAGCCTCAGTCCTCAAATAAAATTTTTTAAAAAGTTATTTCTAAATCTAATGATTTGAGAAATTGGTGTCAGAGAAGTGGGATAGCTTCAACGCATTAGAACACGTGCATACTAACTAGTGTGGTGGATGCCTATCCTTTAAGCTGAAAAGGACCAACGAGCCTTAAGAAGAAAGAAACCTACAAGTAGGAAAACTACAAGTAAGAAACTACAAAGCAACAAGAAGAAGGAAAACAACAGGGGACACAGCGAGCAGCAGCCACCCAACTGCAGACAGACTACTGGAAACATCACAAGAGATCCACTAGCCGCCTGGAGAACACGACTGCCTCCCGATGTACCCTTGGTAACGTACAATTTTAATCTAACTATTTTTTGCGATTTATCTCTGTGTGTGTGATTTTTACAACTTTTTATTTGCATTTTTGCGCATTTACTCTATATATTGTGGATTTTCACGTATTTTTCTATTTTACATTTATATCTTTTTGCATTTTCCCTTGACATTATTGAATCTTTTGGAAACAGCTTTCTATTTAAAATGTCTACTAACGGTTCAGATGATTACCAAC